CGTCTAATACTTGGTTTCCCCAGCTCCACAGAGGCAGCTTTCTCTGGGGGTGTGTAACCCTAGCACCCGATGACAGTTGGGAGCTGAGTCTGTGGTTCTTTGAGTCTGCGTGCTGCATGCAATGGGCACATACTGGTGATGGCAAGAGCATACTAGTGCCACTGCTCATTCCCCCTTAGCTCTCTGGGGGCAGGATTTCAACCACTTGCCTCTCCCTGGTCCATGCAGTACAGAGGGAGTGCTGGGGGTGGGGCTGCGTCCTCTGGCTCTCTTGCTGTTGGCTGCCTCCCAAGCTGCCAGGCGAGCTGGTGCTTGGGTGAATGCCTTTCAGTGCACCCCCCTGCTCCAAGCCCGGGCACCCTGCCCTTTTGCAGAGCCATAAACATCCATCCATGCAGGCTTCAGCGTGGCCTTTGTTACTCCTCTCAGGGAAGCCTCCATGTGACAACGAATAGCAAAGCTGAGCACCCTGATGGCTCTACTGGGGAGACTCAGAATCCCCCCTCCCCGGCCTCTCATGCCCAGCTGTGGGCTCTCTTGGGTCCTATTGTGCTTTCTTTTCACTAGTGTACCCACCTGTGGTGCTGGCCTGTTTGAGTTGCTCTCAGGGACAGTGCTGAGATGTAAAGACCTGGGCACGTGGCAACGGGGAAGCTGTTTCTAGCTTATTTTTCCACAGGGACCCAGGGTCAGAGGAAAGAGATGGAAGGCAGCCAGTTAGAGTGAGGAGGGATGGACAGTGGCAGCCGGCCATTCTGCTGTGAAACAGACACAGTGGAGAGGCAAGTGCACTTCTCTGCAGGGCCCTGGGCAATGGTGCACTTGACCTGAGATGCTGAAGTTAGTGCTTATACTCTGTATGGCCTGGCAGGCTACTTCCCCTTTCTGTGCCTCTATGTTCTGCTCTCTAAAATGGGGATAATCATAGCATACCCCCTCCAGCGTTGTTGTGAGAATTAAATGAGTTCATACACATAGAGCACCAAGAAAACACACATTAGCTAACATGTCACCCTGTGTACCTGGCCACATATACACCCTGTGTGTAGGGTCATGATTTGAAGGGACCACCTGACTGTTCTGATTTCTTTTCCCAGGCACTCCTTTACCTTGCGTGTCTTTTTTTCCCCCCAATAGAAGACATCTGTAATTTTCTTGGATAAATTTCTTTATCCCCAGATTGTTCAAAGCCTTTTTGGTCTTTTCCATTTATATTGAGCATCTATTGATGTTTAGCAGAGTCACATGTGCCCCCTTTTGGGAGTTCAAAGTTGGAAACGTCAAGGTGTGCTCCTCTCCTAACTTGCTGCATCGCATCTGCCATGCCCATGCCTCCTTATTTGAGCTATTTGCCTGAGAATCCACACCACTTTTGTCTATCCACTTACTCTGTATCTGCAAATAGTGCTGTGTAGCAACCACCCCCAGACTCAGTGGCTTGAAACAAGTATCATGTATTATTTCCCATGTGTCTTGAGTCAGCTAATCTAGACCTCTTTTTTTTTCTTTTCTCTTTTCTTTTTTTTTTTTTTTTTTTTTTGAGACAAGGTCTCACTGTGTTGCCCAGGCTGCTCTCAAACTCAAGCAGTTCTACAGCCTCGGCCTCCCAGAATTCTGGGATTACAGGCATGAGACACCACCCACGGCCTAGACCTCTAGACCAGGGGTCCCTAACTGGTCTCTGTCCTGTTAGGAACCAGGCCATACAACAGGAGGTGATCTGACAAGAGCTCTGCCTCTTGTCAGATCAGCAGTGGCTTTAGATTCCCATAGGAGAGAGAACCCTACTGTGAATTGCACAGGCGAGGGATCTAGGTTGAGTGCTCCTTATGAGAATCCGATGCCTGACAATCCCACCCCTGGTCCGTGGAGAAACCATCTTCCATAAAACCGGTCCCTGACACCAAAAAGGTTGGGGATCGCTGCTCTAGACCACACTCAGCTAGGTGATTCTTCCTGTATGTCTTTGGGTTGAATGTTGACTGAACTAGATTAGGCTGGGGAGGTTCTGTTCCATGTACCCCTCCTGGGACCAGGAGGCTACCCTGAGAATGTCCTCATAGAAATGTCAGAAGCACAAGGAGGCAGGCCAAAACACACAATACGGCTGCCTCCTACTATAAGGTCAAAAGGTAGAAAGTGAGGATGCAAAGTAGGGTAAGCAGCCAGGGCCAAATGTGTCATCTCCGGCATGGCCGAGGCCCTGCAATCTCTTGTCGAGAGTCTTCACTAATCTAATTCATTACTTTGCCTATAGCCAACTTCTCCCCACTTAATCCTGACATCCCTTCATTAAAACTTTCCTTTGCCCGGTTATCAAATTCCAAGTTGAGCTGAAACCCCACCCAGCATGGCTCCAATCCGTTTTTTCCAGCTGTGTTTGTTGCTGTGTTTCAGAATTACTCACCGCCTGCTTCCAGATGTACTTGTTGGGTTTTTTGTTGTTGTTGTTGTTTTGCGCAGTTCTGTGCCTCCATAAACAGTCTCTCTCCCTCCAGTAATCTCCCCCACATTTGAGGTTATCATAAATGAGATGCCGTTGACCCTTCAAGACTCAGTTCACATGGTGCCTCCTCTAGGAAGCCTTCTCAGAAACCCTCAGCAGAAAAAGTGGCTGCTTTTTTGTCATGGGATAATATTAAGTCAGGATTGCCTCATGCTCATATTTAACTATATGGACTTGGGAATACAACACTCAGCCAGAGGGAAGGAAGGAGGGGGAAGGACAGTTTTAAATAATTCCACCCCCCATTCTACTCCCTGGTCACTGGAGAACTGAAACTTGGCATCGCTCTTACCTTAGTCATCTTAGGTTCTAGAAGCCTCTCACATTCCCAAAAGCCTCTTGTAGAGTGAAAGGCTTGGTTTGGTGAGTGGGGTCTAGTGTTTAGAGAAAAAGACTGTTTGTACTCAGCCCTGCAGTAAGCTGGTTATTTCTTCTGGCATTTAACCAAAGAAACACCTATCTGGCTGTCTTGTCGTGTTACAAGTACCATCAAGTATTTTATTGGAAAATCAGGAAGCTTTCAGTGTTGATATGGTCTGTAGGGAATCATAACCTCATGGTGACTTTTAAAATCTAGCCCTACCCCAAGATGGTATTCTGAAACCGGGCTCGGTGGCTCAGCCTGTAATCCCGTGCCTTTGGGAGGCTGAGGTGAGGGGATTGCCTGAGCCCACGGGTTCAAGACCCGCCTGGGCAGCGAGACCTCATTTCTACAATAAATAAAAAAATCAGCTGGGTGTGGTAGCGCATGCCTGTAATTCCAGCTACTTGGAAGGCTGAGGCGGAAGGATCGCCGGAGCCCAGCAGGTCGAGGCTGCAGTGGCCGGGAGTGGCCACTGCACTCCAGTCTGGGTGACAGAGTGAGACTCCAACTCAAAAAAAAAAAGATGGTATCTGTTGCATTCCTTATAGGCATATGTCAGATTGAATTTTAATGTTTTATGTCTGTGTTTCCCATCTAAATCATGTGGCTTATGGTTCTTTAGAGGGCAGCAGCCGATGGTTGCGCAGTTTGTGCACTGCACAACTCTAAGGGAGCAGTATCAAACAGAGTCTGGTAAATGTACTCCCATAGTCCTTGGCAGTGCCAGCTTCCTTGTCTCCCTGGTGCCTGGTACAGACTGATTGCTCAACAAACATGAGAGTGAATGAGTAATTGAAAGAAGAGACAACAACAAACAACTGTTTTCAAGTGAGATAGCTAGCAGTTAGAATTGGGCTGAAAACTCAGGCAGGTTTGATCCATTGGAATTAAAACTGTTATTGCAGGTACACATGGTGAGCTGGGCTCATAAGCCCACTTGGAATGTTACCTACCACAAAAAGTTACCTTTCATCCTGTGACTTGATTGAGGTTATGGTTCTAAAAGCATAGCATATTTCTAGAACACAGTGGACCACTCTATTCCTGACACTCCTGTGGACACCGTGAGCCACATGTGTGGAAACAAGGCTAGATTCTCAATGAATCTAGCCCCTCAAATCATGACTGGCCTAAAGATGCCTTGATTTCCCTTAGATTAGTCCTAAACTTACATAAATGCAAATAGAGCCATCTTTTAGAAGAGCAAAGCTTTTCTCAGATAAAGTTATCTGAGTCAGAAATATGCCAGTGTGCCCAGCAAACAGCGTAACCCCATGGGAAAGTGTTGCCAAGTTCAACAGTCAACTTCATGCTTGGAATTCGACACTTCCGGGTATTCTGCCAGAGGACACAGGGAGGGGAACCAACCCATTCAAGATGTGTGGGTTCCTGCGTGGAGGTGGCCCAGCAAGAGGCAGCCTCACATGGGCAGTCGTGGTCTCACCCTGCTTTCCTTCCACCCTAACCTGAGCCCCAGGAAGCTCCAACACCCAGAACACTGCACATCGCTCCTCCGTCCCCCTTCCTTGTGTCTCCAGCAGCAAGGTGATCATGACCAGCTTCTCAGTAGGGGCACTGTAGGCAAGATGCAGCACCAGCAGGGCTTGATCTTTCAAACTCTGGGGATAAGAACCTGTTTCTCTTGTCCTCCGCTGTACCGTGCCTCGACCAGTGGCAGGATATAGGAAAGAGCCTCCAAGGGCCTGTTAAATGAGTAAAGCAAACCCCAGGCATGAAGTGGTCTAAGGGGTGCTTTATGCGATATTTCAGGAAATGCTAAATGCTGTGCAGGTCATGCCATAGCATCTTCTCTAACGGGCCTGTCATCTCTTTCATATTACTGGATACTTGACAACTTATTGTTTAATAGGCAGGTAGCAAGTCAGATGTTCCCTGTACCGCTCAGCCTGATGAAATACAGGACCAAGGTTTAACTTTTGTCTTTGGCTGCTAGGGTCCTGCCGTAGTAGATGTCACACATGAACTTGGAATCAGAACATCATAGATCACGGAGTCAATTCAGCTAGAATTTGGCAGCTGTTCCTGTTGAGGCCCTTGGTGTTGTCACTGGAACTTGAATGAACTGGCCATAATCATCTCCTTTCATTCATTTTGTGTGTGCGCTCACAGGCGAGCTTTCCGTGGAAGAGGCGCAGGACCCTTTCCTGGTCAGCATCCACATCATCGCAGACCCCGGGGAGTCCCAGGCCCTGCAGGAGGCCATCGACAAGGTCCTGGCGTGGATCCACCCGGACCTCCCGCTGTTCCGCGTGTCCGAGAGGCGGGCGTGCCGGCGGCGGCGGAAGGCCCCGCGGGGCGCGCATCCCGCGCTGGCGGTGGTGCTGTTCCTGCAGGAGGAGTACAGCGAGGAGCATATCCTGCAACTGCTCCGCACGCTGCAGCGGCCGCCCTGGCGCCACCACCACACGGAGCGCGTGCACGGCCGCTTCCTGCCCTCCCTGCCCTGCAGCCAGGACTTCTTCACGCTGGCCCCCGGGACCCCGCTGTGGGCCATCCGGCCCGTGCACTACGGCAGGGAGATCGTGCGCTTCACCATCTACTGCCGCCATGACAACTACGCCGACAGCCTCCGGTTCTACGAGCTGATTCTGCGGCGGAGCCCCAGCCAGAGGAAAGTGGACTTCTGCATCTTCCCCATTTTCTCCAATCTCGATCTGGACATCCAGTTCTCCCTGAAGAGGCTGCCCTGTGACCAGAGCCCCGTGCCCACCGACTCGTCCGTGCTGGAGTTCCGAGTGAAGGACATCGGCGAGCTTGTGCCTCTCCTGCCCAAGCCCTGCAGCCCCATCAGTGAGGGGCGTTGGCAGACCGAGGACCACGACGGGAACAAGATCCTCCTGCAGGTACCTAGCTGGCATCTGTCTGTCTGTCTCAATGTCTGTTTGGGGGACCAAGAAAGAAGTTGGTTAACTGTGCCAGAAACCCTGGCATCTGTCACAGAGCGATGTGTTAGAGAAAAGGAGCCATCAGTGACCCTCTGTCCACTCCCAAAGTCAAGTTGTTCATGCTCGATCTAAAAAAAAGAGGAGGCGTGGAAGGCTCTTCCCCTTGGGTCTTTTGTTTTACTGTCAGCAGACATGTTCCAAGTTCTTCAAGGTTCCTCTTCTGTCACCCCCTGATGGAGCATCCACTAAACAACCGTGGCTCCTGGGGATCTCAAGTGAGCTTATAACCTACAGGACTTGTTATTAAAGATTCCTGAATCTACTCCCACACACTTAGACTTTTTTACCAATGGATTTTTCACTTCCACGAAGGAATTTAGGACAGCCCTTCTACCTGAAAATTGTCAAGTATATTGACTTTCAATAAAGAAAGTATCAGTTCTCCCTCTGGTTCCACCCCTGTCTTCTCCTCTTCCACCCTTCTCCTGCCTGGCAGTGGGTTATTATTGTTAAAATTCTATGAGCACTTGAAAAATGACTTCCCCTTAGCCATTTTAAGGAGGAAGTGATGTCTTGGGAGCTTTGGCTTCACTAAGCATGGAAGGGGTGAGTGAATACGTTCTAAGGACAGTGGGCTGCTCTAGACCTTCCCGGGTAAACCCCTTGGCTTTGTTGTCAGCCCCCTTCATCCTCTCATCCTTCATGAGGTTGTCCTAGACTCAGTAGAGATAATCAGTTATACTCTTGAATTCAAAATTCAACAGGTAGATTATGCAACATCCTATATCTGGGCCTACCTGATGAATGCTTTCCAGACCCAGGCTTTCTTGAACTAATGAGCTGGTCAGTTTCTAGCATATAGGGCTTTATTTTTCTGAAAAGCCTCTACCTGTGATGTCTCAGTTTTCACACTTGGCTACCTAAAAAAGGAAGTTGATCGTGAATTGGGAGGCATTACCTTTAGGTGTACTGACTGGTTGCTTGAATCTCAGGTAATGTTTCATAGTTTTTGTTGGTTTTGGCTTTAAGCACCAGAACTGTAATCCACATATTATGAAATGAAGTGAGAATTAGGCACATATCACATAACTGGTTCAAACTGATTCAGAAAGGTCACCTTGAGATATTTACTATTTATAGGAACTAGATAATTTTCAGATTTCCTCTTGAACTATGCAGATAAGAAGCTAAGTAATATTGCTTTATAATTCAGTAAACTGAATGCTAGCATTTGTTCTATAATCCCTTTAGAAATATGAGGAAATGTTTCTTCTGTGTTTGAATACTGCCAGTTCTTTATGCAAAATATAATACAGTTTCATCAAGTAAAAGTTAGTGAAATGCAAAGTTATTTCGTTTGTGCTAAAAGACCAAAGTCAATGTAGGTGTACCTGAAGTGACTTCTTTTTGCAGTAATTTGAGTACTTTTTTTTTTCTCTTGATCCCTCTAATAACATAAATGAAAGGGCATGGTATGACAGTTTGGCCTGGGCTTTGCTCAGAGGAACCCTGGAAAGAATATTCCAGAGAAGATCCACAAGTTTAAATGGTTAGAAAATCTATACAGGTGCAGGTTTTGAAGTTGGAGCATCAAAGTATGAAAGCATACTTTGTATCTTGGGACTCAGTGATGCAGGCCTTTGTTCAAAATAGTAATGTCAAGGAGATAAATTAGCATGGTCAGAAATGACAAATAACTCTCAGAATTCTTGGTATGGCCATTTGAACCGTATCACTGCACTGAACAGCCTTCGACGCTAGCATGAGGTCTGCACAGTCTATCTCAAAGTTACTTTCCAAAGTAAAAATTTGTTTCAGTCTTTAGCAAAATCAAGCTGTTTAGGTCATGGGGGGAGAGTCAGTTGAGAGTATGACTTTTCATCCAGTCTCTTTAACAGTATATGTTGCATAAATGCCATTTTCAACTATAATTTTTTTTTTTTTTGAGTCAGAGACTCACTTAAGCTGGGGAAGGCAGTGGCAGGATCACAGCCCACCACAGCCTCGACCTCCTGGGTTCAGGCAATCTTTCCCTCTCAGCCTCCCAAGTAACTGGGACTACAGATGTACACCACATGCTTGGCTAATTTTTGTAATTTTTGTAGAGATGAGGTCTCACTGTGTTGTCCAGGCTGGTCTTGAACTCCTGGCCTCAAATGATCCTCCCACTTTGACTTCCCAAAGAACTGGGTTACAGGTGTGAGCCACCATCCTCAGCCATCAAATTTCCCTTTCTATAAGGACACCAGTCATATTGAATTAGGGACTCACCTACTCCAGTATGTTCTCACCTTAACTAGCTAATTATATCTACAACAACTCATTATTTCCAAATAAGATCATATTCTGAGCTTATTAGGACTTGAGACTTGAACATATGAATTTTGAGGGGACACTATTCAACCCATACCAACTCTCTTGTATAGTTATCTGCTTACTTATATACCATCTGTCTCAACTACTAGATTGTCAAAAAATGATGAGTTTGAGTGGTGGGTAGAGGAGTGAGAGTCATCACTGGGCTCTCCAGTGGGTCCCCAACTCTCTCTAGCCTTTTCTGTCTGAGTTATTGGGCAACCTCCTATACCAGGCACCCTCTTTCGCTGTCCAGTGGATGCAGCAGACATGTAAACCAGGGAAACCTAACAAAGTGTTCCAGGTGCCATGATTTAAAAACTCATCCAGGACAGTGAATGCGCATGGGCTTCAGAGTCAGATGTGCATCGGTTGAATCTACTTGTACTAACCTGAGGAGTGGCCAGGGATGTGATCCATTGTGCTGGGAACCTCCCTTTCCCAACCTGAAAGTTTCGTATGATCATTCTTCCCCTGCAGAGTTACTCAGACACATGGAAAGAATGCCTTTGGCGTGCCCCTCAGTCGGCACCCAACGAACCCGGGAATGGTAGCTGTTACCCACAAAGGTGGACTGAATAGTGCTGATAAGAAGATGGTCACAAAAGGCTGTTCAGAAGAGCCAATTCCTGAGCTGAGCTGAGGGTGGGTGTCGGTCCAGGGAGCTCAGTCTGGGCGACAGAGTGAGACTCCAACTCACCAAAAAAAAAAAACCCAAAAAAAACCAAACATAAAGATGTGTGGGATCATCCCATGCCCTACCCCCGCCCTTCATGCCAGGCCAGAAGCCCCGTAGGCCAGCTTCCCATCCACACAAAAAATGGTGACTGTGCTGATGGAGCTCTTCTCCCCCAGGCCAACTCTGGGGTCATGGGAGAAGCCCCCTTCTCCCAGAGGAGGGCCAGCCATTGTCTCTGGGAAGGCCAGAGACACACTGCACGTGGTCCACCCTCCTGGCGTGGCACCTCTGCTTCTTGGGACAGACCATCTCCAGTTGACCAGCTTCTCAAGCAGGCAAGAATTCCCCTAAGAACTAAAAATGATGTGATAACTCATATTAATTACACACTTGGTAGGGTCCATGCTTTGGGGTAAGTGCACTGTAGTGTCTTACTTAAACCTCTCGGCATTTCCATGAGCTGGAGGCCATTCTTATCCCCATTTTGCAGATGCACACACTGAGGTGTAGATCAGAGAACTGCTCGCTCTCCAGTGTTACCAACGGAGAGTGGCAGGACTGGGAAAGGGCAGAGGCACGCCTGACTCATGATCTTGGTAAGGACCTGGCATTTCCTGGCATGAAAACCACCTGAACAGCCTGTCTAAACCAGAGTCCCAGGTCTGCCTTCAGAGACTCTGAGCCATTGGATGAGATTCTTCCTTTCTGGCCAGCTCCAGGCACTGCTGCAGTTGTGCCTCCTAAACACATCCGCCAGACACAGCATACCAAAGGCAGGATGTCCCAGAGTCAGGTGGTCTCCACCACCAAAGACATGACTTTTTTTTTTTTTGAGTCAGGGTCTTACTCTGTTGACCAGACTGGAGTGTCCAGTGGCACAATCACAACTCACTGCAGCCTGAACCTCCTGTTTCAGGTGATCTTTCCACCTCAGCCTCCCAAGTTGCTGGGGCTACAGGTAAATGCCAACCATGCCTAGCTGACTTTTTTAAAATCTTTTTGTAGAGACAGGGTCTTGCTATGTTGTCCAGGCTGGTCTTGAACTCCTGGTCTCAAGCAATCCTCACACCTCAGCCTCCCAAAATGCTGGGATTACAGGTGTGAGTCACCATGCCCAGCCATGGCTACTTTTTAAAGTTTGTTATAATTAATAGCAAGCTTGATACATAACATAAGAATACAAGTTGCAAGAAGTATCAGGAGAGTGAGCAAATCTTCCTCAAACCGATTTTATCCCATTAGCAACCCAAGCCCAATGCCTGATACACAGCAGCTACTCAGTAATCACAGGCTTGTCTCTTCCTTCCCCTTGGTCTCTGGTATTTTCAGGACAGGTATGCAGTGATCCAAGGGGCAGGAAGACACCCTATGAACAGCAGGCCACTGACTCTGGGGCTTGGGCAGAAGGACCCTGGACCTGGGGAGGTGAGGCTCATAACTGGTCAGCAGGTTGGTTTACTACACCCGCCCTGGGCTCACTAACCACCCAGTCTAGACTCTGAAGAAAATCTCTATTTCAGTCAACCACATTGTCTACACTGGGTTACTTCATCTGTGTGGGTTACCCAGAGTGACTGAAAGCCACCCCCAGAAAACCACTTCCCAGAGCATCGCCTGTGTTTGGTATCCCTGCAGAAGGGATGTGTGACATCATAGGCTTCTCAGCCCTGGAAGGAAGTCATTTTATTTTAGGAAAAAAGAAAGTAGCAAACTGTGATTACAGGCCTTGGTGGGACTCGGAATTAGATCTTCGAGGCGGAGGATGAAAGTGAGAAATTTTAAGCAGTGTTTTCTGCACTCAGCCTCAGAGCAGCTTTCCTTCTTGGCTAGCCAGTCTCGCTTAGCCTATTTACTTTGGTGTGTCCAGGACTGTGCTTTCAAAGGGTCAGGTTTGGTGGGAGATCTGGAAGAAAGTGCTACTGTT